TCTTTCCCTCGCCATTCTTGGAAGTGGAAACCCTAATCTCATCCGTTGACGTATTTTGTTTTCTCTCCTGTGGTTTTCAGGTAGGAAGCCGTGTGGCCTCGTTGCGTCCTAGTCTTCGAAGGTTTGAGTTTATGTTTCTGGACGTCTTACCGTTTTTTCTCTTAATCTTTTCTGATGTCTCCGCGTGAAAAACGATTATTATTTGCTCCAAAATGATCGTATTTCTCGATTTTGTCTTCCACGCCTAATTGGATGCAAGCCTTTATGTAGATCAGGTGTTTTGGTCAATTTCCTTCGGCTCGTGATCTTAAGCATTGATGTTGTTGTGTTGTTTGCCTTGCTTTCTGAAACTTTTAATGTATTTGAAACTTGAGCTCGATTATGAATGCTTATCCTGTATGTGCATTGCTTGTCTCTTCTCCACTTTTGGTTCTGCTCTTCCTCATTCCTAATGATTTTCCTTTCTCTTGTACCACTGCAGAAGCCCGGTTGTTTTGGCTGTTTCGAGGAGTTTGAATCTATAAGAAAAGATGTTTGGTTCAACGAACCGTAAGTTTTCATAATTTCATGTTTCTTCATGTTCTTATTACTCTGCTTCTGTTTCATTTTATCCACTGGTTATTTATATTCCTCGCAATACCCTACTAGGAAGGCAAACTGATCATATGTATATTGTTTAACAGCTTTTGGGCAGTCATCTAGTAGCCCGTTTGGGTCTCAGCCGGTGTTTGGGCAGACCAGTAATGCAAGTAGTAATCCCTTTGCTCCAAAGCCCTTTGGTACCTCTACTCCTTTTGCTGCACAGACAGGGGGTTCCATGTTTGGAGGTACTTCGACCGGTGTGTTTGGTGCCCCTCAATCTTCTTCTCCCTTTTCCTCCACCACCACTTTTGGAGCGTCTTCATCCCCTGCATTTGGAAGCTCAACTCCTGCATTTGGCAGTTCATCCTCACCTTTTGGTGGTGAGTACCTTATGTAGATTTTATTGCATAGCCGAGTCAAGAGTTATTCCTTGAAACTTGCACCTGATAGACAGCGGAGTTGCTAGCTGTGTTCAAAATTATTCTCATTCGACATTACTTAACTCAAGGATAAACCGATGAAGTACTAAATAAAATAAGCTTTTAATAAATGGTTTGGTGGTGTAGAAAACAAAACTGTTGCTGCTTTCAAAATTATTAATCTGGAACTTACCTGGCCATTAATTTCCAGTTCTCTTTTTATTTTGTTTCCCCTCATTAGTATATACTCTTGATTTCTTTGTTGTTTAATTTCCTGTTTCTCATGCACTCATGTGTTTTCGTCTTTCTGGGTTTTCCTTTTTCTTAGTTACCGCATGCAGTTTTTGATCGGCATTAATGCTCTTTTTTCCTCTTTCAGGGTCATCTGTTTTCGGCCAGAAGCCTGCTTTTGGCTTTTCAGCGCCTCAGTCAAGTCCTTTTGGAAGCACAACTCCACAATCACAACCTGCATTTGGTAGCGGTGTATTTGGTGCATCCACACCCTTTGGCGCATCAAGCACACCTGCCTTTGGCGCTACGAGCACTCCTGCTTTCGGCGCCACGAGCACACCTGCCTTCGGGGCATCAAGCACTCCGGCCTTCGGTGCATCGAGTACTCCGGCCTTCGGTGCCACGAGCACACCTGCATTTGGTGCCACGAGCACACCTGCATTTGGTGGAACTGCATTTGGTGGCAGTGCTTTTGGGGCTTCAAGCACTCCTGCCTTTGGTGCATCAAGTACTCCTGCCTTTGGTGCTTCGAGCACTCCTGCCTTTGGGGCATCAAGCACTCCTGCCTTCGGGGCGTCCAGTACTCCTGCCTTTGGGGCATCAAGTACTCCATCCTTTAGTTTCGGTTCTTCCCCAGCTTTTGGTCAATCCACATCTGCCTTTGGTAGCAGCCCATTCGGTTCCACACCATCTCCTTTTGGAGCCCAAAGTTCTCCTTTTGGTAAGCACAGCTTGTGTTAGGCTTATTTTTTTCTTAAAATTTGTACATGCTGATCCTTGTTCCAGTCATTTGAATAAAAAGGTATTAATTTGTACACATGATCTTTTTTGCAGGTGCGCAGGCCTCAGTACCAACATTTGGAGGTTCCAGTTTTGGTCAAACAGCTTTTGGGGGTCAACAAGGGGGTAGTAGGGTTGCTCCCTATACACCTACAACTGAGGCTGAAACTGGCAGTGGTACTCAGCCTGCTGGAAAGCTAGAGTCTATTTGTGCCATGCCAGTATATAGAGAGAAAAGCCATGAGGAGCTGAGGTGGGAAGATTACCAGCGAGGAGATAAAGGTTATTCAGCAGAAGACCCTTACAATCTGTTACTTTGATTTGATGCTAGATCTTTATATTTTATTTATTAAAATACTATTTTTCTTTACCTTCATTTCATTACTCAGGTGGGCCACCTCCTGCTGGTCAGTCTCCTGGAGGTACCGGATTTGGTGTGGCAACTTCTCAGGCTAATCCTTTCGCTCCTTCACCAGCGTTTGGACAGGCACCGGCAAACCCTTTTTCTAGCTCAACATCTGCTAATCCTTTTGCCCCCAAAACTCCAACATTTGGCAGTTCAGGTTTTGGAATGACTACCTCAACTTTTGGTTCCTCTCCTTTTGCTGCAACATCATCATCCAACCTGTTTGGATCAACCTCTTCTACTACCACATCCCTATTTGGAGCATCCTCTGCTTTTGGAGCAAGTACGTCGTCGCCGTTATTTGGTTCATCGAGCACACCTGGATTTGGTTCTTCTCCATCAATTTTTGGTTCAGCTCCTGCTCAGGGGACGACTCCAGCATTTGGTAGTAGCCTAAGTTTTGCTTCCAGTCAAGCGCCTTCTCTGTTCAGCTCAACTCCTTCGGGTGGACAGACTGGATCTGCTTTTGGACAGACTGGTTCTGCTTTTGGGACGTTTGGACAGAGTAGTGCTCCCGCATTTGGCCAAACTAGCCTTTTCAGCACACCTTCTACTGGGTTTGGTAGCTTGTTTACAAGCTCTTCATCCTTAACTACATCTACCAGCTCTCCCTTTGGAGCAGCAGTAATTTTCTATCTCATTACTATACATCTGATTTTTTCTTCTTTTCCATTTCATTGCAAGTGGCATGTTGTCTTCGTAGTTTTCTCCTTTGTTTCTCTATATTGACATATATAATCTCCTTTCCTCCTATTTTGCATCCGTAGGCATGCATACAAGGGTTCTCTACCCTGGGTTCCAGAGTTCTAATCTTTTGCTTTATGTTTTTGTAGCCTTCTGCTGTGACGCCGTTTCAACCTGCTCAGCCAGTTCAGACATCTAGTGTTTTTCCTTTCGGCAACTTTGGTCAAACCCAGCCTGGTACTTTGGTCATTCGAGACACTTTAATTATGTTTCTGATCATCTTTAGCAACTAGATACTTATTCTTGGATGTGTATGTTCTAAAGCAAATGCAGCTGGAGTTGGTGGTGGATCAGGCATTTTTGGGCAAGCCAACTTTGGGCAACCGTACAGTCTCTCTGACTCATTGTTTATAATTCTCTTTCTGTCTCTGTGTTGTTTGTCTACTCGACTTGTATGTGTACAATGCACATGTGATTATAAAGTTGTCACACACACACACTCTCTCTCTCTGAGATGGATATGTACGTGTATAGAGTTGTGCGTGGGTTAACGCACAAACAAATGAAATTGTACGTATTGGTAGACAGTAAGGTTTTTATTATGAAAGGTGCTAAGGGTAGAGCCTCATTATTATTATTTTTTTATTTTCTTTCTTTTGGTTCAACAGGTCTGCCTCACTGAGCTCTGTTGTTTTGCAACCAGTCCCTGTCACAAATCCTTTCGGAACACTTCCTGCTATGCCGCAGATATCAATAGCTCAAGGTGGAACTGCTCCTACAATTCAATATGGAATCTCCAACATGCCTGTGAGCTTATTCTGACCTTCAACACTATCTCCTCTTCCTCTCATTTTAGAGAAGAACAATTACATGCTCTTTACCTACATATTGTAAAGAAAAATTTCCCGACAGAAAATCACATAACCCTCATAAACTTTTGAAGTCATCTCTTATAAATAATACTGCTAGGCATTTGATCTTGAAGCAACTTCTGCAGGGCATTTTGCGCTTACAGTGTTTATTTTGATGTGTTTTGGTGATGATGTTACTTTAATGTGTTCTACCGTTTGGTTTTCTGACTGCTTCCTGGTGGCTACTGTTTTGTTGGAAAGATTTGTCTAGTTTCCTCAGGTTTGATTTACTGTACTTGTAGAATCTGCATGAGGCCCGTTTCATCATTTTGTAATTCATGGCATTCATTCTGTATCAATATTTTAGTTTTACTTTTTTCTATGTATAAGATATGGGGAAAGTCCCCCCCAAACACCACTTGATATTGATTCTTATGGTTTCTGTATTTTAAAGTTCGTACTAACCCTCATGTTTAATTTGTTTTTTTCTCAGGTGGTTGACAAACCTGCTCCTGTAAGAATATCATCTCTCCTGACTTCTCGACATCTTTTACAAAGGAGGGTTAGGTTACCCGCAAGGAAGTACCGTCCTGGTGATGATGGCCCAAAGGCATACCTCGTTCTTGCGAATTTTCTCTCAGATTGAATATTACTTACAATCGTGACTGTCATTACTGAGATGCTTTTCTTCCTGTCTCACCTTTTAAATGCTCTTTGCAGGTTCCATTTTTCAGTGATGACGAGGAGACATCCAATACACCGAAGGCTGATGCACTTTTCATTCCAAGGGAAAACCCTAGAGCTCTAGTTATACGCCCAGTTGAAAAATGGTCTTCAAGAGAAAAATCCGCTCCTCCAAAGGATGGACCTGCTCCAGCACATGAGAATGGTAAGGCTTTTTGCAATCCTTACAGATTTTGATCTCGGACTTTTCGATCCACTGAGCATGGTGAGAGAGTTCCAACTTCCCATTACCATAAATTTAGTGTATGTTTTGAATTCCCCGGTTGCTGTTCCTGTATCGATCTATTCCGACCCTTTTTACATTACATAAACTTTAGGTAAGAGTTCTGAAGGAGTTACAGATGCGGGGAATCATGAGAGTAAGTATATGAATATTTATATTATAAGTTGTAATTGTTACTTGTGCTGTATGAGATCATGCCCTCACTAAGATAATATTACGCAGATAATGTTGGGGAAAATGGCAATGCTGGAGAAAGGGCTCATCCAGTGAAACCAAATCAGAAGCTGAATGGCACACATGCGGATCATGCCTCTGCGTCCGGCGGTGCATACAAAACCCTAAGTGGACACAGGGCCGGGGAGGCAGCTATAGTTTATGAGCACGGGGCAGATATCGAGGCGCTGATGCCAAAACTGAGGCGGTCAGATTATTACACAGAACCTCGTATCCAAGAGCTGGCTGCAAAGGAAAGGGCAGAGCCAGGATACTGCAAGCGTGTGAAGGATTTCGTGGTGGGGAGGCACGGATACGGAAGCATCAAGTTTCTGGGAGAGACAGACGTGAGGAGGCTCGATCTGGAGTCGCTGGTTCAGTTCAACAATCGGGAAGTGATTGTTTACATGGACGAGAGCAAGAAACCGCCGGTGGGGCAGGGTCTGAACAAACCAGCCGAGGTAACTTTACTGAACATAAAGTGTGTGGACAAGAAGACGGGGAAACAGTTCACGGAAGGGACGAAGGTGGAGAAGTACAAGGAGATGTTGAAGCGGAAAGCCGAGGAGCAGGGAGCTGAGTTTGTGTCGTACGATCCGGTGAATGGTGAGTGGAAGTTCAGGGTCGATCATTTCAGTTGCTACAAGCTCGAAGATGATGAAGGTGAAGACGAAGACGGTGTCTGCTGCTGCTGACGATGTTTTTGCAAAATCTTGTGTTCTGTCTTTCCTTGATTCCGTTGTGTGTTTTTTTGTGTCTTTTCAAGCCGTTTAGCACGTTTGGAATTGTGCAGTTTTAGTGGTTACTGGATCTGTTTGTCGCTGTCGATGTGTGTGTGTGTGTTTTTTTGGGGTCTATTTGTATTTGGTTCTACACTTGCTAGTCAATGGTGTTCATTTAAGTTGGTTTTTTTTTTTTTTTTTTAATTCCAAGTTTGGTATACGAGGGACTTTGGGTTGGTCTTTTCACTGATTCTTGTTCCATCATAAGAATTGACGTATTTAGTAGCGTAACTTTACCGCATATGAAATAGGGCAAGATGGTAAAAACCTGAGGGGAAAAGGGTATAATCGGAAACTCGAAAGCCCTGATACAACCACGAGGAAGTTAGTGTTTGTATATATATATATATATTGGAAGAGTTATAATAAATCGTCGTATATTGGATCTATCTTGGATGCAATTTGAGTTTTTATAAAAATACTTATTCAAAAAATCAAGCCTTTTTATTATTTTAAAAAATATTCCAAAAAAATATATACTGTTCTCTCATTTCAATTTAAACTATGTCTTTTATCCTATTAAATATTATATTTATCATTTGAAACAACAAATTTATATACTTTTAAATTTTTGATAATTAAACCCTTAAAGGTTAAACATTGTTAAAATTAGAGATCTAACCCTAACGAAAAAATGACGTGCCTCCTAACTCATTAGCCATGTAGAATTTCTTTCCCTATCTCTCTGACTTCCTCAACAAGTAGAATAGTTTTGGAGCGATAAATCGGTTTTTGTTGTCTATACATTTTAGATGTTTTGTGAGGTTTCCAAAGAATTAGATAGAATTGATGTGTTTTAGGGTTGAACAGACATTTTTATTCAAGATTTTGAGATTTTAAGATGAGTGGACAAAGATCCGATTCTAGATTCAAAGTAAAGATGAGTTATTAAGTACTGATATTTTCTAAAAGTGATGCAAATTCAAATCGATCAACTTGTCTAAAGATGAAGAAATGTCAGCCTACCATTTCAATGAGTTTGTACGCAAACGCATAAAATCTTGGTTGGATTTGGACAAAATAGAAGTGTACACTCGGTTTAGATTTATTGCTATGAAGTTTTGGAAATTTATCATCATCATCATCATCATCATCATCATCATCATCCATCAAAGGTTGACCAAAAGTTTGACTCCTTAGGCTGAAACGACGGCGTCTTACATTCTCTTAAACCCTTAGTACGAACCTGTGGCTGCGGCGGAGACGGATGCTTTGTTCCTCTGAATCTGTAAGATTGAGGCAACCATGGAAACGGAATCGGAGAGAAGCGATGACGCGACCGTATCTGCCGTCAAAGACATGAGAACCCGACTCGAGACCCGGATTCGGACCCAACATGACGCCCACTTGGATCTCCTCTCGTCGCTCCGATCTATCGTTCCGGACTTGGTACCGTCGCTCGATCTCTCCCTCCGACTCATCTCCTCCTTAACGAACCGGCCCTTCGTCCCCACGCCTTCTCTGCCGGACCCGAAGGATGAGAAGCACCACCCTTCTTTGCCCAAATCCGGAGTCCGACAATCTCATGACCCGAAATCCGTCCTCGACGATTCGGGTCGGAGAGCTCCGGGTTCCATCGCCGAAGCCGACGGGTCGAATGGAAGCCCCACGGCGCTGGTGAGAGCGATGGTTGCGGAGTGTTTGCTGCAGCGAGTACCCTTCTCGCCGACGGATTCGTCGACGGTGCTAAGGAAGCTGGAGAATGATCCGAACGCGACCGCGGCGGAGAAGGCGGCGCTGCGGGACCTGGGAGGTGAGACCGGGCCAATTCTCGCCGTCGAGATGGCGCTCCGGTCGATGGCGGAGGAAAACGGCTCGGTTGAGTTAGAGGAGTTCGAGGTGAGTGGGAAGTCCCGGATCATGGTCTTGGCCATTGATCGAACCAGGCTGCTCAAAGAGCTACCAGAGAGCTCGCAGGGCAACAACGAATCGAGCCGGGTTCTCGAAACTCCGAACCGGGATGATAATCCGACAGTCGGAGGCGGGTTTGGGATTGCCGGGTCGGGTCATTTCCCGAGACCCGATATGTGGGGACCCGGACCCGGTGACCCAAATATGGGTTTCAGGCCGATGATGGGAGGACCAAGAGGGATGGGGATGATGGGGATGCATCATCCAATGGGGATGATGGGCCTGGCCGCCGGGAGACCACCGCAATTTCCGCCGCCGGCGACTGGTCAGAAGCTGAGGAGTGAAGAGGAGGATATGAAGGACGTTGAGGCTCTTCTAAGCAAGAAATCTTTCAAGGAGAAGCAACAATCGAGGACCGGCGAAGAGTTGCTGGATCTCATCCACCGCCCCACTGCCAAGGAAGCCGCGGCCGCAGCTAAGGTAATCTAATCAATGCTGACAATGAACCGAACTGAGTAGTTCCATTCGCAGGTCTGACTTCTGAGGTTGCTGTCCGTTATTCTGTGATTGCACTTTAGAGGCTTTAGCACTTCAAATTTAGATACAATATAACCGATGGAACCATGGTAATAACAGATTTAGATAAATGTTGCTACTTTTGTAGGGCGTTTTTTTATCTGATTGTGAAAGTGGGATTAGGGGACCTTAACCAAAATCTGAAACATCCATAGATAAGCTTTGCCCGTGATAGGGACAGTTTGTGTCTGTGGAAACCATGGTGGGTATGTTTCTTGAAACATTTATGGATGATTTTTATAGGTTTTAAACCATGCTAAGTAGCAGCTCTTTTACCAAGATTTTATGGGTTAAAGCCAATTTATTTATCTTTTGGAAATCTATTACCTTTATGTGTTTCCACTATTGCTTTCTGGCCTTTCTGGTGTTCATCTTCACTACAATTACAGTTTCCACCTTCAATGCATTTAGATATCTCGATAGCAAAGAGCTGTGTCCGAGAAACTTGTGCACTATTACCTTTGTTGAATTGGAATTTCTATTTTCTTTTTAATTTGTTGATCTTTACTACACCTATGGTTTCTAGCTTCAACAGCAAAACTAGTTCCTGTTTGTAATCTGTCTAGTCTTGTAATATCTTGCAGTTTAAAAGCAAAGGAGGATCACAAGTTAAGTATTATTGTAGATATTTAACAAAAGAGGATTGCCGTCTTCAGTCCACTTCCCTCATAGCCTGCAATAAGGTTTGTGAAAAAACCTTTCTTCAGTTTCAGTCACTGGCTTTGGAGTCATCTTGATGCACGGGTGAATGTTACTTACGTTATATTATGCCTGTTATATACTTTCAGCGGCATTTCCGTCGATTAATTGCTCCACATACCGATATCAGTTTAGGCGATTGTTCCTTTCTTGATACATGCCGTCACATGAAGGTATGTTCTATAACAATATCTTCTTCTCCCTCTCTCTCTCTTGTGGATTTCTTGTTGAGAACAATGGCTGAGAGAAAGTTACTGTTTTTTTGTTTTGTTAGACCTGCAAATATGTGCATTACGAGCTCGACCAATCAGCTGACACCGGGATGGTGGGCCTGGACAAGCCATTGAAGCCACAACGGGCAGATTACTGCTCAGAAGTGGAACTGGGAGAGGCGCAATGGATAAACTGTGACATCCGGTCGTTTAGAATGGACATTTTGGGGACATTCGGTGTTATAATGGCAGATCCACCATGGGACATTCACATGGAACTTCCCTATGGAACAATGGCTGATGATGAGATGCGCACTCTCAACGTGCCGTCTTTGCAGACCGATGGTTTGATCTTTCTCTGGGTCACCGGACGTGCAATGGAGCTTGGCCGCGAATGGTTTGTAAAGAAAATCTAATGAAATTGAAAAAAAGTTTCGGTTTTTGTGTTTTAAATGGTCATTTATTTTGGTAAAGTTTGGAGCTTTGGGGATACAAGAGAGTGGAAGAGATCATATGGGTGAAGACAAACCAGCTTCAACGGATTATAAGAACAGGGCGGACAGGTCACTGGCTCAATCATAGCAAAGAGCATTGTCTGGTCGGAATCAAAGGAAGCCCGGAAGCGAACCGAAACATCGACACAGATGTGATTGTCGCTGAAGTCAGAGAGACAAGTCGGAAGCCAGACGAGGTTTTTTTTTGTCATGAGAACACATACCAGATGATTGTTATATAGAATGTAATTGTTGGTTATGAACTCGAGAATTGCCATTGTTGCAGATGTATGCTATGTTGGAGAGGATAATGCCGAGAGCGAGAAAACTCGAGCTTTTTGCCCGAATGCACAATACTCAAGCCGGGTATGTTTTCTTTTCATCGATTATCCCGCGGTATCACCGTGGTTGAGATGTTTAGATACATTAACACGTTTCAGTCCTGATTCGTGAATATTTCATCTTCACCTCTGTCTTGTTAAGATGGCTGTCGCTTGGGAACCAGCTCAATGGTGTACGGCTCCTGAACGAGGGTCTCCGAGCACGGTTCAAGGCCGCGTACCCGGACGTGGAGGTGCAGCCGCCGTCGCCGCCTAGGGCTTCGGCCATGGAGATAGACAACAGTGGTATCGAAACGAGAAGCCCCTTTGCTGGGCCAGATCCGATGGCTGTGGACGCTAACGCAGCTGCTTGACCCTTGACGACTGGAGTTTACTGCGGCGACGCTAGTCATCTTGCCGGAAGATGGAAACGGAAAGCAAGTTATGGTTTTTTATGTTATGTATCGTTTATGAAAATTGAGATCCGAAAATTTTAAAATCTTGTTTTGTATCTAAATATTTTGTGTTGAGCCTGTCACTTCTTTTAACTTGCCAATTAGTCAAATTAAGTTAGGTCTTAAATTTGGATCATTATCAAAAATATCCTCCGTTTTAACCTCAAGATATATCTTTATACCATATGACCAAAAATATAATCTTGATCACATTGATCATAATATTAAATTTATGGTGATCATATCCATTCATTATGTATTGATAAAAATATCATAATTTTAATGTTATTTGATAAAAATATTATAACTTTAATGTTATGACCAGTATGGTTAAGGTTATATTTCTAATCACATGATCACAGACGACATGTCTTGAAGACAAAATAACAAATGAATGATATTTTTTTATATAATGCTTTTTTATTTCGGATCGGTTTGATTTTGAAAAAGTTATAAATCATTCGATTTTTATATTAGATTTTGTTATTATTTCGATATAAGTTCAATTCTAATTTTTATTGATAAAAATATTAAAAAAATTTGTTTGGATTTGGTTTTTTCGGTTTTAAAAAAGTCAACCATTTATATCAGATTATGTTAGGGTATCTTTTTAGTCTTTTTGAAACTATGGGGTTCAAAGTGTAATTTAGGGTTTTTGTAACGAAGCTACTGCTAAATAATGCAGAAAGTATTGAATCTTTGTATGGTTTCAGAAGAAAACACCTTTACGTCTTCCCAAACAGTGGGAAATATTTGTTCGTAATTTTAGTTTTTTTTTGGTAAAGGTCATAATTTTAGTTTTATTCTAAAAATCTTTTTAGAAACATCCTAAACTAATTTATTTCAGCTGCATTAAATTTTAAAATATATAAATAGTAATTCAGATATAATTGTGTAATATTTTATATATCTAAATGGAACTAAAAAAATATAAAAAATGTAAAAATAAAATAAAATATTTAAGAACATATAATTCATTTCCATATATCTAATATCTAAAAAGGTTTAGATCTGTTATTCAATTTAGGTATGGTATTGAATTTGATTAGGATATATATGAAAGCAAAAAACAATCTTTTTTTCCTTTTCAATTATATATCTGAATAAGTAAAGCAGACCAATCAATTTTTTTAAAATCTCAATAAATAATCACTTTGGTAATTTAAGTAACCGAGTTTTCCTCAGACAAAAAAAAACTGGGGCCAATCCGGGTCCCAGCCGTCCATCATAACACTGCATCCACGTGTAACGATCCTAGACACTTACAGACTGCCACGTCATCATCATCTCTCTCTCTCTCTCTCACTCTTCTTCGTTGCGGTCAACTGATCAGAAATATATCAGCTCTAAGTTAAAAGAAAGAAAGAAGTATTGAAGAAAACAACAAAAGAGTTTAATCAGTTTCAATGGTGTCTCGACTTTTTCCGAAGTTGAAGTACTAAGTCTCTCTCTTTGTTCCAGATTTTTGTTTCCCTCTGTTTTCATCGATTTGATTTTTGTCCTCGATTAGATTGTTTCCCGCGAGGGCGGATTGATTGCCGTGCCTGATTTGGTGGGTGGTATTCAGGGCGGTTTTCGGTTCGCGGCTCAGGAAGATGTCGAGCCGTGGCGGTAGTAAGCACAGGGCTTACTCCGCAAACCCTAAGGACTACAAGCTCATGGAAGAAGTCGGATTTGGCGCCAGTGCTGTCGTCTACCGAGCGATCTATCTCCCCACTAACGAAGTCGTCGCTGTCAAATGCTTGGATCTCGACCGCTGCAACAGCAATCTGGTTCGTTCGTCCGTTCGTTCTCTGGACGTTTGAGTTTCGGATCCGGGTTTCGATTTCGATTTGGTTTTCAATTAGTTCAATCTGGAGGGTTCTGAGCTTGTTCCAAGTCGCTGGTCGAAAATTTTGCTTATCTGATTCTGCGGGGTTGTTGGGTTTGTAGATTTGTGTTGGGTTTCTGATTTGTGGAGCAAAAGATTTGAGAACATGGGTTTGCAGCATCAAATCAGTTGCTGCATTTCTGGTCCTGACAATTACATCGTTCTCCTTTCTGTCTGCTGCAAATTATCGTCTGGTGGCAGAGCTATCTTTTATTTGTTTGATAATCAATTTATTTACCTGAATCTGTGCTGACTAAGTAGTAGATCAGCTATATGATTCTCCAACTTAGCAAAAAGTATTTTGAGCATCCCATATCCGATTTGTCTAGTGATTCTTTTCCTCTTCGTATCTGGAGACCGGGTTGCTTTTAGTCGGTCATTTGAATCTAAGGAGAGAATGATCAGATCTGTCTTTTCACGTTTCTTATCCTTTTTTTTTGCAATGCAATGTATTGTGTCCTGAAAGTGTTTTGTTTGCTGCAATCTTTCTTGATGTTTGTGGCTGGAGGAAGTTTCCCTTTGAATTGATGAATTATTCTGATTTATAGGATGATATAAGGAGGGAGGCCCAGACGTTGAGCCTGATAGACCATCCGAATGTTATAAAGTCGTTTTGTTCATTTGTCGTCGAGCGTAATCTCTGGGTTGTCATGCCATTCATGGCACAAGGTTCTTGCTTGCACCTTATGAAGGCAGCATATCCAGACGGATTTGAAGAGTTTGCGATTTGCTCTATTCTGAAGGAGACTCTTAAAGCTCTTGATTATCTTCATAAGCAAGGGCATATCCACCGGGATGTTAAGGTCTGTTAAATGTAAGATTTTTTTTTTTCTCGGTTTGCAGAACAATATGTCTAACCCGTCCATACGGTCTTCGAATTTTGTGTATCTTTCCTTTTAGGCTGGAAACATACTTCTTGATGATAATGGAGAGGTCAAGCTTGCTGATTTTGGTGTCTCTGCATGCCTGTTTGACAATGGTGATAGACAGCGGGCAAGAAACACTTTTGTCGGTACTCCATGCTGGTCAGTTATTGTAATTTGCTTCGGCTCTGTCCTTCTGTGTTCTACATTAATGTTCTTCTATTCAATTGGTTGACATGGAAAACATGTTTTCGTTTGTAGGATGGCACCAGAAGTCTTGCAGCCAGGAAGTGGATACAATTCCAAGTGAGTTTATAATCCGTCTACTTGTTTCATTGCATGCTATAGAAGGTAGTTTACTTTGATATGTGTGTGTTGATAGCTTTTGAAACTCAACTACTGGGTATTCATCTGTTTTTATTTGATCTGTATTCTGGAGAACTGTTTCGATTTCGAATGGATCATATTTGCTCGGTGATGCATATTGAATATCCTTATAAAGTGTGTGGAGCAAATAAGTGCAATATCAGCCTATTGGTTGGTTTACTGATCTGTTATTACTTGGCAGGGCCGATATCTGGTCATTTGGTATAACGGCACTGGAGTTGGCCCATGGGCATGCGCCCTTCTCAAAATATCCTCCCATGAAGGTACTTCATTATCTCCATTTACGACTTATGCATGTATGTTTTAGAATCAAACCTGATTCCTTCTTTCTGGAAATAGGTACTCTTAATGACTATTCAGAGTGCACCTCCTGGCCTTGATTATGACCGTGATAAGAAGTTTTCTAAGGTACTCGTGTTCTTTCTAGGTAGATTCTTTCGGTGTAACTTTTTGAATTCCTTGGTGTTTGTGTTTTCATTTCACTTTTTTTTTTTATTACTGTTCTAATTTGAGGAATTTCAGTTGTGACCAGTCCTTTAAAGAAATGGTTGCAATGTGTCTGGTGAAAGATCAAACAAAAAGACCAACAGCTGAAAAATTGTTGAAACACTCGTGTTTCAAACACGCGAAGCCTCCTGAGCTTTCTCTTAAAGGATTATTTGCTGATTTACCCCCACTTTGGATTCGCGTAAAAGCTCTTCAGGTCTGCCTTACTTGCTTTCCTTTTTTTTTTTGTGATCGAGCTTGTTTCCTGTTCAATATTGTTGATGAAGTCGTAATTGTACGACAGGACAAGGATGCTCAACAGCTGGCTTTGAAGAGATTGGCCTCTGCTGATCAGGAGGCTATATCACAGGTGACAAATGTCAACCGTTTGTCCGGAACTATTTACTTAAGCTTAGCATTGCAAAATGCGTATAAGAAATTCTTTTTCATGGCAGAGTGAATACCAGAGAGGAGTCAGTGCTTGGAATTTTGATGTCGAGGACTTGAAAGCTCAAGCTTCTCTAGTAAGTTATTCTTTATTGGTGTCCGTGATTGAAGTATTTCCTAACTGTGACACTATTGGTTCTCATCAACTAATCTTTGTTCTTATGTTCTTTGTCTACGTATAGCTGGATGATGATGATGACAATATAGCTGAGGGGAAAGCAGAAGAAGAACAGCTTTTCCGGGAACAATTTCATAACAAGGCCAGTAATCTGCAAATAAAAATTCAGAAATAAACACCTCTTTCTAACTTTTACCCTTCTGGTATGTAAGTCCTTGGTAGTTTGAACTCAGTTTAGGAAAATGTTACAGGTGAATGGCAGAGGGCAAGATTGCGGCCATCAATTACTATCTAAGAATATGAATAGAACGGAAAAGGCTTCAGATATTGAGGTGGCAGTAGAACCCATACGGGAAGAGAAAACTGAACCGAAGAACAATTCCATAGAACAAATGGCATCAAGTTCAGAGCCTGACGGACCGGAGGCAAAGGCTAAACCAGTGAGATGCCAAAGTCAGAGTGGACCACTTACCCCTGGGATTGTCTTAAGCCATTCAGCTTCTGAGAAAGGTCGTGCCTATGAAAGGTTTGTGTCATTTACTGTTATTTATTTTGACATTTTTCAGATAATATCATCCTATACTTCGGATCTGCTCCTCCTCTATTAAGATCTTTTAAACTCTCCAACTTGAAATTCACCATCTGCTAGACCCGAGAGTGAACGCCAGACGACAACATCAGTCCGGAGGGCACCCAGCTTTAGTGGTCCTCTGATGCTTCCAAACCGTGCTTCAGCAAACAGTTTATCAGCTCCGATTAAATCTTCAGGAGGTGAGAAAATGGCACTGGCAAACTTCATGGGGCTAATTTTGTGTGTTTTTTTTGTGTTGCTTCTGTTGCGATTGACATGAGTGGCTGTCCGCCTTGAACAGGATTCCGGGATTCCCTTGATGAGAAGTCAAAGAATAGTCTAGTTCAAATCAAAGGACGATTCTCAGTAACATCAGAAAACTTAGATCCTGCAAAGGTTGGTACATCATTTGCTGCCACTTGTTTTCTCTTTCTTTTAAGGTAATTTACCAGACAATCTTCTACAAAAATGTACCATTAAGTAGAGTCCCATGTCGTTCCTCTGCAGATTGTTTTCGCCTCTCTCCATTTTTTCTCTCTAGACTAATAACTTTCCTTGTTAGACTTTTGCCTGATAATTCATGCTTTTAATTTTCAGATAATGCCTATGAGAAAATCTGCTAGTGTTGGTGACCGAATACTTGAGTCTAAATCGGTCGGTTTGCCACCTTTCTGAGCCATCTTCTTGCTCATCAGTATTTTTTTTAACATAAATTGTGTGTTAATCCTAATATTGTTCTGTGTCCCACAGTTAACGAGCCAATCCGTCAAGGAGTCAAATAATATTCCTGTGTTTCATTCATTCCTCATGCCTCAACTTCAGAATCTTTTCCAGCATACCTCGGTTCAACAGGTGAAAAAGAAAGAAGAAGAGTCATGGACCATTGCATCAAAGCATTAGAGATTAATCTGTTTGACCACTTTTCAAGAAAATAATTATCTTAATTGAACTTTCTGTATGTTCAGGATCTTATCATGAATCTACTGAACAGCTTACAGCCTGCCGAGGCAACAGACGGTGAGATAAATAGCTGCACTTCAACTCATTACCATGTTATGATGTTGGAGTATATGGGTAACTCATAACTCCCTCAACATTCTTGTAGGTTCACAAAACGGAAAGTTGCCACCTTTGCCTCGAGGCTCAGAAAGCAATGGTGTTGTAAGTAGATTTATCCGAAGCATTATATGATTTCATCCAGACATCTCGTACTGTCTAGAAAAAAGATTCTTGGGTTTATCATATGGTTCACCTTTTCCTTGCCTTGGATCACAGGTCGAACCCATGGTTTCTGAGAGGGAGAGGTTACTACTTATGAAGATATCTGAGCTCCAGGCCAGGTCGGTTGTCTTCCTTTCGAAGTAATTCATTTTTAGTAGCTGGTCTATAGCCTGTCTATTGTCTAACGCGTGTTGTCTCGCTCATAACGGTAAATTACAGGCTGAACGATTTGACGGAAGAGCTAGACGCGGAAAAATCAAAATACTCCCAAGTAAGTTCCCACCTCAAACGCTCCATGCCTCTTACACTGATTTCGTTTCCAAGCGTGGTATATATTTGCCGCTTCCTGTAAACCTAGTTGCAGAACGTATAGAACAGTCTCTGTCCCCTGTTGTCCTGATCGTATATACCATAATGTACAGCTGCAAGAGCGGATAAAAGCAGCTGCCACTGGCGAAGAACACACAGAAGCAGAAGAGAGGGCAAAACCCGAACGCTGAGGCGTTAAAGAAAAGAGAGGGAGATCTCTTTTGTACATCGAAGCCGGAGACTTGTGCGTATTGATCAAAGCAGGGGGAGGAGGCAAGAGCCGTACATATTATTATTATTCTCAGTTGGGTTTTTTCTTTGGGAGACAGAAGAATGAACCAACCAAACCGACGCGCTGATGTCTGCTTCCGACAAACCCACACAGTCCGAAGAGTTGAGGGATCCATAATAAAAGGGGAAAGGAAGCCTACTGGAGGGGCGCAACCTGGAAATTGTATTTGTTTATTTAATTTGAATGAAAATTTCACGTTTTTGAAATAAATTTATTGTGATATATATATATATATTAAGTGGTGAACCAATGGGTCATTGTAGGATTCAGAGGAAGGAGAGAGAGGGGGGCGGAGAGGCTTATTTAGAATCCTTTCTGAATGTAAATGTTGTGTTTGCTTTGTTTTGTTGTATCCATCAATCTTTCCACTTCTCCTTTTGAATGCATCAACTATTGTATCATTATTATTTCGGGTATATGATTGAATCATGCTCTGTCCTAATCTTGAACCTTTGGGAGAAAACGTGGGCATTTATTCGATTGCTTTCGCCGCAAGAAAGAGAATGTCGATGTGGACCGGAATCTCAAGCTGCTGAGTTCCAATTGTAACCTCGAGTTCCCACTTCCCAGGTGATTTAGTATCAAATTCTATTTTTTTAGTACTTAGATTCAATGATAAAAAAAATATATATGATAATTTAGAATATAACACTAGAATTTAGATATTACTATAATTTTTATTTAGTTTGAAATTTTGTATTACTGTTTTAAGGATTCTATTAAAAATAGAGCTACGGTACGTATATGTAAAACCTTTTTTTTTTTGTTAAAGATGTACACACACACACACACATATATATATATATATATATAAAAAACCTTTTGTAACAAAAAGTATTTTGTTGCAATTCATTATTATATACGTCAATCCAAATGCAAGTGTTATATCATTATCGGAGGATACGTAACCGAAAAACAAATGAACAATACGTTAAATATTATATATGGAAAGAGGGAAAACAAAATAAAAAGATAATTAAGAATGATCATTTCTTGAGGTATTTGGAGATCTGAAGGAGGCATCGGAGAGTTTTGCCATCGCGAAGCAGCTGAAACGCATCGTTTATCTTCTCGAAGGGGAGCTCGTTTGTTATGAAAGGCTCCAATTTCACCACCTGCGGACCGGATTAAACATAGACTACACGGGCAAACGCTGGAAATCATGGGATACTTGCACTAAACCCTAAACCCTAAATTAAATATATATAAATATTTTCTTGGTAAATAAGCATATTTGTCGGTGTATGCGTGCGTGTTTCATTTAGATCCGGAAATTAGTTAATGGGTTAAAGTGATCGGGTGTAAGAATGATTTGGGTTTGATAACGAACGAGAGAGATCTACGTACTGACCCCCTGCATGCACTGCGCGGCGAAACGTGGGAGCTGAGATTTGCCTTTGAAGCCGCCGAAGACAGAGCCGGTGATGGTGCGGCCGTCGAAAAGCTCCATTGGATGAAGAGGCAGCGTTCTCGGCGTCGGATATACTCCTATCAGCACCGTCTTCCCCCACCCCTGTTTCCACCCATTCAGTTACTTGCCGTTCAAGTTACCTACCTTTTTTTTCTCCAATCGTTGTAATTCTAAGGGTTTGTGTTAATTACTGCACTTTGTGAGGTGAAAATATACTTACAGCTCGAGTGGATAAAAAGGCCTCGCGAAGAAGATCGACGTTTCCCGTGCATTCGAAGCTGTAGTCTACGCCCCCTCCTGTGATCTCTGATATCCTCTGTCCCGATATTACATTACATATATTGACAAAATTATATACATTTATAATATTGAATTTGAAATAATTCGAGACTTATTTTAGGAGATTTTCTTTATCTTTATATTCAAATACAATATATATATATATATAGTGCATATGCGTACAATGGATACATATATATGTACCTACCTGATGCAATGGCTTGCTCAGGTCCTTTGGATTTATGAATTCTGTGATTCCCATCTGCTCGCCTGCGATGATCCATCAAGGTGAATACAAACATGGTTGGTTTTTTGTGTGTATATATATATAAAGAAAATAGAAATGTTTTTATGGCATTATCAATTCATATATTACTGTAAAATATTTTAATTTTTTATGCAACCATTTGGGAATAATTCACAGCTCAATAAGTAAAATAAATTATATATATATATATATATATATATCATTTCAAACTCCATATATCATTTCATATGTGTGTGTGTGACATAAGTAAATAACTAAAATAAATAAATACGCTAGGGCCCGCTGGCTGGACCTATCTTGAATAAGTTGCCTTACGCGTGGACCAACTTTGCTCCACAAATTAGATTCCTTTTATTTTTTTTTATTTCAAATTTATATTTATTTAGTTTTTATATTCTTTTCACTTTAATTTGACCCAAAAAAAATGCGAACCTTTAAAAAATGCGAACCTATAATATTTTCCCTTTATATTCTTTAAAAAAAAAAATGCGTTCTACAAATGAATTACAACGATGTATGAATAAAGATATTAAGAAGCGAACCTTTAACCATTTTAGAAGGGTTCGTGTCAACACCAATGATCCTCGAAGCTCCTCTTGCTCTTGCTCCTTCGGCCACCTATTTTCCATGTTGTCGCCACGTTACTTATCATGAACATACATACATACATACATACATACATACATACATACATACATACATACATACATACATACATACATACATACATACATACAATATTATGATGGTAACAAAAATGTGAAAATATTATTGTTATTACAGCGAGTCCAACGGATCCCAAGCCAAACACTGCAGTGCTTGCTCCTGCCTCCACATTCGCCGTGTTCCATGCCGCTCCCACTCCTGACGCCACCGTCACACATTGTAAAATTCCATTCAAACTCGTTCGATTATCAATAGATAGATAAAGAGAGGGCGCTGACCGGTGGAAACGCCGCAACTCAGGAGGCTCATGTGCTTGAGAGGAGCATTGGGATCGATCTTGACGACGCAGGCCGAGTCCAAGACGGTGTATTCGGTGAACGTGGACGTGTTCAAGAAATGGTAGATGGGCTCGGAGCTGTCTTTGGTGAAGAACCTCGGCTTTCCGTCGCTGACCATCACTCTCTTCATCGGATCGACCTGGTACCTCTCGCACAGATTGCCCTCCTTTTGCTTGCAGACCACACACTCTCCGCATTCCCCGTTGAAGATGGGTATCACGTAGTCTCCTTCCTTTATGTCTCCCACCCCTTCCCCTACGCTCTCCACAATCCTACATGGTACATTTGCTCAATCTATGTTCCGTATATTGATATGCATTCAAATTGGGTATATGCAGGGGATCTGGGGCGAAATACCCGACAGCCTCGTGGCCAAGAATCCGTGGGAACGCTCTCTGAGCTTCGTTCTTTGAATTATGAACGTGTAATGTCAACGTTAATCAAGAGAAAGTGACATGAATCGAGACAGAAACTCGTGTAGCTCTATAGGGTGTAACCAGATGGCTTGATGTATGAACGGCTATATATATATATACACACAATGTACCTCGCCGGTCCAAGCACCGAGATCAGTGTGGCATATGGAGGAGTAGAGGATCTTGATCCGAACCTCCATTTTCTGAGGAGGATCGACGCATACTTCTTGTATCACGAGCGGCTCCTTTGGACCCCATGCAACAGCAGCTTCATACATATCCATCCATCCATCCATCACCATATCAAGAATTCATGGTATATACATCACCGTCATCCACACATATAAACATACTTGGGTATATATGTATGAATGTGTGAATCCCCTTACCTTTGCAAGTGATGACCTTCCCTCTAGTTTCCGCCATGTTCATTCATATGTCAGCTTCCTGCAAGTGTGTGTGTATATATATACCCTCCCTCGTCCTATGAGAAGAGAGAGGGCTTCTAAATATAGCTCGCGATCATTCATGCACATCCGCAGCTTCATCAAGAAGGGGATTTGACTCCGTCTTGTCTAAACATAACCCACATCCCTTCTTGTTTGAAGTGATCATAACCATTTGAAGAAAAATAACTTGTCCAAATTTAATCACGGTATCCCGTTTTTTCTCATGACTCATCTACGAGGCTCATGTAAAAAGTTGCAGCTCCTCCTCCACATATGAATCATGCAAAAATTTCGAGTTTCAATCTGTTGATGTGGTCGGTCCCATTATCAATAATGAAACATTAAATCTAGCATTTTGAGGGGTCAACCCAAAAACGGTAAGATAATATGCAAAGTATGTTTTTATCTGAGTTTAAATCTAAACGTGAAGATCTAAGGGTATTCACCCGGACTTTCCGCTCCTCTGCAATGGATGAAAGACTAAGTAAATTTCAGAATTATAAAAAAAAAAATAGTAAAGCCAAGCATTTGATTATGAACATGACACAATTTTGTCCCTATACTAGCACATATATAAGATCTGTTAGAGTATGAGACCGGTTTAAATCGGTTTGGTATGGTTTGATTTGATAGAAACTTGTATAAAAACATGTGTTCTTCGTGAATCAATAAAATTCTGCCCTGATTCCATTTTGAATTCTCTCGGATATACAACAACATATGCAAATCACATTTTACAAGTTCCATGAGCGTTAATGAGAACTTGACTATGAGCAGCTAGTGGGTATGAAATTTTATGGCCATGATTTATCTACAAGATATATACAGCAAAAAAAAAAACACCCTCTTCGCCTAAAGCTCACGCATTCAATGTTCATACACAAGGCCGTCCCACAATTTTTTTTATAAGTTTTAGATACATAAAAATTATTAATTTATATATTTTAAAAAATCAAATATTATATTATTTTCAAAAACATTTAAAAATGGTATAAATATACTTAATTTAATAAATATACAAATGGACTGTTAATATAAAAATATTAAATATTCATGTAAACAACAAAATTCTTTCTAACTTTATTTGTAGGAAACTTGCCAACTAAATCTTCATGCACATTTTTTTCAAAAAAATTGTTCTTCCAAACAATCAAACCTGAAAATAAAATATTAATGTTATTAGCATTTAATAACATAAATAAAATCATCAAATAAATAACAATTGAAATAAAAAAATAGAAAATTAAAATAGTACCTTTACGTATTTTTTCTCTTAAATATATACTAAGTAAATGATAACTTTGATATCATGACTTTTCTCTCCTAAAAACAAAATAAATGAATAATAATTGTATATGTAAGTGAATATCTCAAAACTGTTGTGGTGATAAATGTCTCATTTCTTGTGTTTTTATAGCACAATTTGTAATAGTAAAAAAATTAATTGATTTTTTTATTTTTTAAATATATATTATGGTAATGATTAGTTCTAATAAATGTTCTTTTTTGTTGCCACGGCTATAATAGATTTTGATTTTAGTTTTTAAAAATAGATCTTTTAATTTATTTAATAATAAGAAAAGTTGTTAAGGATTAAAAAAATCTGTTACTACTCATAATTATTAATAACTACTAATGTTTTTAAATTATTTAAAAGGGTTAATCCCACGAAAAACCACAAACTTGTTAAAATGTTCCATAAAAAACTCTGAACTTGCCATCTTCCACAAAAAACTCTGAATTTGGTAAAAACTTTCACAAAAATTACAAACTTATCATTTTTTCAATATAAAATCTTTGACTTGTTTGACAAAAAATTCTGCTGATGTGGCACGATGGATTGCTAAGATGGCGTTAACTGAGTTATTATGTCAGTGTCACGTCATCATTTTAAAAATTAAAATATTTGATAAAAAAATATATATATATGAAACATTTTAACAAGTTTGGTATTTTTTATGGGATTAACCCTTATTTAAAATAAAATGTGTCATAAATTTCGGAGTCTGTCCTATTGCATACCTTGCCTAGGCCGTGTTAGAAATTTGTTGATGTGACATTAAATTTATATTCACCAAACCCTATACGTCTAATCCAAATTGCTACCAGATTAACATCTTCTTGTCCTTGTGGATGCCTCATAACTCTATTACACGTGTTCATGTGTGTGTGTGTGTATATGCACCATTAATGGAAGTGGGTGGGTCTTATTTACGACGACCAAACTGATGGCGGTGTGAATATGGCTACGGTTCGCCATGAAAGCAATTAAAAGCTCATTCAATGCGTGGACACGCACATTTCACGTGGACCTCCCAAGTCCAACCAGAAAGATGGAAAATAAAGACGACGGGGGGCGTTCAGAAATTCAGAAGACAGGTAGACAAGGATCATTTATGGCGTTTTCTGCTTACAATTTTTTTTTTTAATATCGAAAGTCCACCGCAATTAAATTGTGCACCTCCTTCAATCCGTTGCTGAAAATACAAGACAGATGAAAGCGAAGTGCAGAGAGTGTTATATATAGTTAACAGTTTCAAAGCAAAACCAAAGTTTACTGGGAA